CAAATCAGTGCAGTGGGAAACGGGAACATGGAGTGAGATACAGGCGGAGAAGCCCTTGGGTCAGGCACAAGCACTGCCGGGGACTAGGGGTGTGATAGCAACCAGGTCAGGAAAGCAGAGCATGGCCGGAGTTTTCAGGCTGTTTATTCTTAGGTCCTAGGTGCTGGTATCCTCTGTAATGACATCTTCAGTTGTAGAGGAGGAACGTTTCACGATCATTTGAAGCTCAGTTAGATGGTTGACATCAAAGTAATTTGGTAGGGACCAGAGCGTAAAGGACCTCTGAGGTTGATCCTTGGTTTATGCTGCAGTCTGAAGGGTTCTGTAGATGACATCATCTAGGTGTGGGAGCTAACATTGGCTTAGGGGATCTCAGGGACACAGGATGCCATCCACTCAGCTCCACCTTGGGAAGTTGGTTTTTCCTGTGGTCCTTCAATGTGGGTAGAGCCCCATGCTGTGGTCTGGCTGCTGTGTTCCTGCATTATCCTCGTAATGCATAAAGAGATGGGACCTTAGGTCCATGGTTAGATCATGCTGGGGTTCGTGTCTTCAGCAGGGGACCCTTCTGCTGTGGAGACTTAGCAATCATGTGCTACTGATGAGATTCAGACTGGACCCCCAGAATCTTCACTGGACTTGGAGATTCCCTCCTGGCAGCTTCACTGTGTATTTGCCAGCTCCCTGATCGAGGGTACCTTGTTACAATGGTCCAAGAGCCCCTGGTGAGTCCCTGTGCTGACTCTCCATGATGTGGGTCACGGGACCTGATTCCCCTTATTCTAGTTGTTATCTCCACCTCGGCCTCCTCCTCTCCTTTGTTGTTTCTGGATAGCTTATTTTCAGATTTTGGGCGTCTTTTCTGGCTAGCCTGAATTTAGAATCATACACTGTTCTGAAAGAAAGTCAATTATGTTGGGCCCGGCGGCGTGGCCTAGCGACTAAAGTCCTTGCCTTGAACGTGCCGGGATCCCATATGGGCGCTGGTTCTAATCCCAGTAGCTCCACTTCCCATCCAGCTCCCTGCTTGTGACCTGGGAAAGCAGTCGAGAATGGCCCAAAGCCTTGGGACCCTGCACCTGTGTGGGAGACCTGGAAGAGTTCCTGGTTCCTGGCTTCGGATTGGTGCAGTACCGGCCGTTGCACTCACTTAGGGAGTGAATCATTGGACGGAAAATCTTCCTCTCTGTTTCTCCTCCTCTCTGTATATCTGACTTTGTAATAAAAATAAATAAATCTTAAAAAAATTACTTGCTTTTTTAAAAAAAAGTCAATTATGTTGAAATAGTTTTCAAAATATACAAGATATTTAAAGCTTATTTCACAATATACAAGATATTAAAAGAACATAGGATATGGTCCTATAAGTGCTTCTTTAAAAAAAAAGATGTTTTGTTTTTTAGTTTACTCGAAAGTCAGAGTTACAGAGAGTGCAGGAGAGACACACACACAGAGAAATCTTTCATCCACTGTTTCACTTCCTAAGTGGCCACAATGGCCAGAGCTGGGCTGGTCTGAAGCTGGGAGCCAGGAACTTCATCCAGATTTTCCACATGAAGAGCAAGAGCCCAAATGCTTGGAACATCTTCCTCTGTATTTCCCAGGCCATCAGCAGGGAGGTGGCTTACAAGCAGAGCAGGTAGAACATGAACTGGTGCCTGCATGGGATGTCTGTGATGCAGGCAGCTGCTTTACATGTCATGCCACGGTGCCAGCCGCTTATGATACTTCTTTTTCAGCACATCACATAGCACAGTCCAGCCATAGCCCTGATGATGCCATGATTTCACGGAGTGGAACCATTTGCAGCAATAGGTGTGTGACAACATCCATCTTTCCTCTTCATGACGAAGTCACAGGTAATTATGAGTCATTCTGTGCTTTGTGGCCTACCATTAGAAATGGAAAATTCACTTACAAGTCAGTTCAAACAAAAATAATTTCTCTCTTTCTCTTTCTCTCTTGGATCTTCTGAATTCTGTTCACAAACTTCCTGGGGAGCTGTGGAGGCAAGTCAAGAACCCCTGGTGGAGGTGCTTGTTCTTCTTGTTCTATTATTGCTTGCTTCATTCTTTATGAAGTGGGTCTGAGTCAGTGCTCATTTAGTTATTAGCAAGGAACCAGTGGTAAGGGGAGTCCCTTGTGGCGTATGTGCCGGAGCAGCAGGACTAGGTGGTCCACACAGGGTGAGATCAGTGTGGCCCCCAGAAGAACACTCCTTGGGGGCTCGGAACCTGTCACCTTGCCTTGCTCAGGCACGTTTCCTCTGTGGGATAATCTAGCAGTCGTGATTAGGGGACCAGGTTATGTCCTAGAGAAGGTGGTGGCCCAAGGTATGACCTTTTCTGTGCATACAGGTGTGCACAGGCCTTACATAACGGCCCTGGAAGATGGCGACAATGGCATTAAATGAAACGGAAGAAGGCGGGCCAGGCTGTGCAGCCTCTTTTCCCTGCCCTCCTGCCCCAGCGTGGCAGGTGCACAGGCGTCTAGGGAAGGTCTCCAGCACCTCTTTTCCCTGCCTCTCTCCTCCATGAGGGCAGCAATGGTCTTTCCAGCACTGTCTGCATCTCCCTGCCTTTTTACCACCCATTCCAAACTCACTGCACACTGGCTTCCTACCTTTGCCTGCTTGAGCTACTGCTTGCTTCGTCCTGGGCCATGGTTGTGTCAGCCACAAGGCAGCCCAGCCATGCCCAGGAGACATCAGGAAAAAGAGCTGCTGAACCTACTTGTGCCAGAAGCAAGTGTGCTCTAAATTCTAGAGTTAAATCAGTCCTAGCAACTAGAAGCCCCCAATCGTGGCCCCAGAAGGCCTTGGTGAGTTGGTTCAATGAAGCAATGGAGGCAAGAGCCCAGGCTGGTGACCCTGGCAGCTCCCCAGAGTCACTCCTAACCTTACCACCAAGTTACCACTTCTCTTTCCCGCTGCTGATGTCATTGGCTCTTCCTCTGGCTCTAGGAAGAAAGGGCTTTCAGGCATGTCCCTGGCCTGATTTCACAACAGCTTCTCTGGCTGCCATTCATCACTGCTATTGTGTAGGATCATTAGTTTGGTGTGTGGTGGGAAGACCTGACGAAGGAGGGTCTAACTGGGTTTAGGTTGCGAGTCAGCCATGACCTGGGAGAGAAGTGAGCGGCCCGTGCAGGATGCCAGAGCTCCTTTTCCCAGCACCAGAGAAAATATTCCTTATCCCCAGCGCACTCCCCTACCCCTATCCCCACCCCACCGCCAGGGGATTGAGATTGTGGGTAGGCTGGGGCAGCCTCTAGGTTTATCTTGCACCATCCTGGCTTGTGGTCCCTGTGTTCAGGTGGTCCTCACAGACCTGGTATTCTGACTGTCACCTCACAGGGAAATTTCATATTAAGGCAGATGGAACAACTAATGCTGAAGCTGACATCGGTAGCAAAGGCTGCTGCATGGTGCACGTTGTGCTAAGCATGCACACGCATTGTCTCGCTTCTCCACGTGCGGCCAGGGTACCCTTTCACAGTGCAAATTTCCTGGAGCCAGCAGCCTTCTGAGGCCCACAGGAGCTGGTCGCTGGCACCTGCTCTAGCTGAACATCCTTCTCTTCCTTGCCTTGGTATGCCGAGGTCCCTGCTCATCTTGGAAATGCATGGGAAGCCCTGCCACAGAGCCTGGCAGCTGACCTTCACTCGAGGCTCTTCCCAGCTTGCTCCAACCCTCTGCCAGGCCCCTGCTGACCAAGCTGATCTTAACCCCACCTAAAATATCAACACTGTCATGCTGGGCACCCTCCTCTGCTTTTCTTTTTTTCTTTTCTTTCCTTATTATTATTATTTTTTAAATTAATTTTATTTGAAAGACAGGTTGTGAGAAAGAGAGAGAAGAGAATGAGTTTTCCATGTATTGGCTCACATCTCAAATGGTTACATAACCTGGGCGGGGCCAGCCCAAAGCCAGAAGCCTGGAACTCCATCCCACGTGGGTGGCAGGAGCCATCTTCAGCTATGTTCCCAGGCTCATTAGCAGGGAGCTGGACGAGAAGAGGAGCAGCCAGGAACTTAAACTGACACTCATACGGGATGTGGGTGAGGAGCAGCTTAGCCCCCTGCACAACAATGCCAACCTCCTCCTTCGTGGTGCTCAGCACACTTGGCCCTCTTACTACAGTTCCATTTGTCTGCTTGTCTGCTACCCATCTCCCCAACTAGAGGCAAATCAGTAAAAGACAGATACCTTGTTTTGATCACTAACCCAGTGCTGAGAGAAGTGTCTCTAATGTAATAAGCTTTCAAGAAATACTCAAGGAAGAAAGAAATGGGTGAATCTCCTCATCCCGGCAATGTGAGTGAGAAACTGGAGGCTGGGAGACATTAGTGAAATCTTCAAGGGCCCCAAGATGCTGGGGGTTCTGTGTCAACAAGCCAGTGTCCCAGCTCCCAGCCCCTGGGCTCACTCAAACATGCCGGGCAGCATTTCTCCAAGAGAAAAGATTTTGTAGATTAACCTGTTGGAAATGATTCCATATCCCATTCCAAATGCTTGCCAGCCAATGAAAGGCCTTGAGGAGTCCTACAGAAAGAAGCTTGTTTCCTGAGTCTTTGTGGAAGTTTTTTACACTGTATGTGCCTATCTGTAACACCTCACTCGCTAACATATTGTCCAAATGTTTCAGGGAGAAGTTATCTGTGAAGAATCTGAGAGCATTCTCCGGGTTGTGTGGCCTAGGGAAGGCTTGGACAGGCTGAGCCCTGGGGAGAGGGGCTTCCCTTCGGGTAGGCAGCAGGTGGGTCCCCTGCGTGTGTTCACACAGGAATACAAGCACCCTCACGTGCACCAGGTGATGCGGGAAGCCTAAGTGGTGGACACCTGCTACTTTTTACCTGCAGCCCTGCGTGGGCTCACTTCTCTGCAGGAGGCTGAGAGCTGGGGACCTGTGTGCTTGCTCACCTTCTGACCTTTGGTTTCTTAGTGGGTGACACTTGCTGGTGTCCAGCCAGAGCCCATGAGAAAAGAAGTCCTCACCCCCGTGTGTGTCTTCTCAGCTACCTCTGCGCTGAGCCCACGCTGAGTGCTGGCTTGTTGGCCTCAGTGAGTGGGAACTGATAATCCCAGCTGTTGCATGCTTTGGTGCAGAGAAGGATAAATGGTGATGTTTCAAATCCCTTAATTCATTGCCAGAGCCTTGCTTAGAGAGAAGAGCATCGGTGTAGCGTATGGAGATATGGAAATGTCTGAGGCGCTACAGTCGTGGGAGAGTTAGAGCGACTGTCAGAGCCTCAGCTGCATCCATTTTTATTTTTGATGGTGCTTTGAGATAGTTAGGATTCAGGTCTCATCTTTGCCTCTGAGCTCATCTGAATAATAGTGATGAGGAAAGGAAACGCAGAGGGCTGGCAGCCACAGGCAACCCCCGAAACGACCATATATATCGGGGAGGAGGCAGGGGAGCACGAGAGCCTAGCCTCCCCAGCTGGCCCAGCACAAGGCTGAACGAGTGGAAGCTAGAGGCGTCAGAGCTAACATTGCTCTGCCTTCACCCCAGTGGCCATGAGGGGTGCCATCCAGGTCTCCATCATGCTCCTCCTGGTCGCCGTGTCCGACTGTGCCGTGATCACCGGGGTAAGCGTGGGTCCCGGGGCGGCTGTCAGGGGCTGCATGGGAATGGCGCTGTGAGCCCAGGGACCATATTTGTGCTGTGTACTGCAAAGCAGAGAGTCAGGGAGCTGGCCTGCAGAGGGAACTGCTGGAGAGCTGGCCCTCACGCTGCTGAGTGGGCTGTGCTTTCAAGAAGCCAGGTAAGGCTCAAACCCTGCTTTAAATGCAGCAGGAAAGCACTGCAAACCACAGAAAACTGTGAACCTTGGGTGCCGTGAAGCCTCCTGCTGCCCAACAGGAAATTCCTTACGAAGTAGACTAGTAGTCCTTTGTCCATCTTTGGTGTGAAGGTTGGTTTGTGTGTACGACTGGGTCCATGTTTCAGTTTGAACAGGTTACATACAGTGGGTTTCACTGGCCATGGTGACCACCTTAGCTTCCGTGCATGGAAGTTAACATACCCCCAGCATTTTAGTTCTGCAGAAAAATGGTAACTCCATGTCCTGTTCTGAGAGAGAAAGGGGTGACATCAGCATTTGGTGGAGTAGACCCAAAAGCCAGGTTGGAGATCCCCAGCGGAACTCGGGGTCCCAGCAGAGGCTTGCACAAAGCATCATGTGTTGTGTCATTGACAACACTGGTATCTGGCTTATCCCTCCAGCATCTGACTCCCCTCCAGCTGCTGTTCTGCCAGGCACACACATTGTGTTAAGGTTACAGTTGGTGAATGGGGACCATTCAGATTAGAGTGGAAAGCAAATCTTTGCTTGGGAGCTTGCCAGGTGAAAACCACCTGAGAAATTAGGGGGAACTGACTTTTGTTTCTGCCTCCTCCAACTTGTCACACAGAAGAGAAATACCAAGCAATTCCTGGAATCTGATTAGGTCTCATGTTCGCAGAAAGAAAACTTTGTTTTAATCCTTTTTGAGCAAATAAGACTGAGCTCACACAAAGGCCCAACATTCAGGATGAATGAATGCTTTTGAGACACAAGCCCCGCCCGAGGGGGAGGATGGGAATTGTATGCAGTGTCACCCCTGCAGGCTGGTTTCCTGGTGGGGGGACTCCTCCACCCTGAGAGCAGGGAGAATAAAAATAGAATCCTGTTGTCCACAGTGTGGAATTGGGCAGTGAGGCTGGCCTGGGTGTCCAAGTTAAACTCATGCGTGCAGGCTCCAGCCCCTGGCCTCTAGGGACAGTAGGACTGGCCTTCTAAAGGAGGAAAGCCAGTGTCTTCAGAGGGACAGGCACCAGGGCAGACAAAGCAGAGGAGGCATGACAGGTGATTGGAACAGCGTGAGACAGGGAAGCTGGCTCCCCCAGACTCCCTCCCTCTCCATGTCCTGCTGCTGGCCTGAACCCAACTCCCAGGAAGTGCTGGACTCCACCTTCTCTGGGCCCCTTTGCTCCCTGGACTGTCCTCTGGGCTGGCCCATCTGTCCCATCCTCCTGGGGTGGGACAACAGTGCCCCACCATTGCCACTGAAGAGATACTGGGGTCTGCTTGTACCTAACCCTGAGGTTCTGGGGCAGGAGTGGGGACTGGTGTAGCCAGAGCTCTGCCACCCACACCTCCTCTGGGGAATACAAGGCCTTGGCTTCCCCTTCCCTCTTTGGGGCTGAGTCCTCCCTGCCATGACCTCCCATCCCGCCACGGCCTTGGCAGTGCCCTGTGACTTTCTATCAGAGAAGAGAGACTGGAACCCAGTCTTGGTAAGTCAGCTTAACCTCTACGAAGTGATGTTCAGGTGCTTCTCCTCTATGTCCCACTTGAGTCTGCAACAGTGGGGGCAAGGGGTCCAGCATCCCCAGGCCCTGGCTATTGCTGAAAGGGAGCTCTGCCAACCTTCCCTTCCCCATGTCCCTTGCAGAAAACAGGCAGAGCCCATCCATTGCTGTTCTGGGAATCCAGCCTAGAGGGCTCCATCTGCCACCTGAGGGTCAGAGAGGCCTGTTGCCAAGCACTAGTGCAGGACACCTGTTCTGGGGGTACTTCAGGTTAGGCTTGTTTGGGGGTAAAAGCTGAGGAAGTGCCAACTGTGCAAGCTGGGTCAGGACTGGATGGCTCAAGGATATCATCAATGAATTCCAATCCAATCCCACCAGCATGCAGAGAGCATCTATCTACCAGGGCTAGAAAGGCCGCATTCCCTGAGCTCTGGCTAGTCAATGGCTTCCCTACCCTGTGCCTCAAAGGGCCTTCTCGGGCTCTGACCCCTGCCGAGCCCTGTGTGTTTTGCCAGCCAGGGCAGCAGTGCCTGGCCCACTGAGGCACTCAGCCTCCTGGCCGGATCCTCACAGGGCCTTTGGGATGTCCCCTCCCTTCTGGTTCAATGTTGGGTGACACTAATGAGCCTCCCCAGCCCCCACTCCCCCACCTCCCTTTGTCTCCTTTCTCACTGCAGGCCTGCGAGCGGGATGTCCAGTGTGGGGTGGGCACCTGCTGTGCCGTCAGCGTCTGGCTGCGGGGGCTTCGGATGTGCACCCCGATGGGGCGCCAAGGAGAGGAGTGTCACCCTGGAAGCCACAAGGTACTGTACTCCTGCAGAGACTGAGCTGCGGAGAGGTCCTGGGGGCTGTACTCCCAGCCGAGGTTGTAGTCCTGGCCTTGGGAAGGACAGCAGGCAGGCACAAAGGGACACCCTCCTCCACCCTGCCTTTCTCAGTGCCCTGCTCACGATCCACATGTGTGTTCCTACTGGGCCTGGCCATGGCCCTCTATGCCCTTCTAGCACAGCCTGGAGGGCCCACTGACCTAAGATGACACTGCAGCTTTGGTGCTAGGATGTGCTCAGCCGGGTCACAGCTAGAGCTGTGGCTCTCTGGTACTGATTTGAGTTGACTCTCCCTGCTCTCAGGGGCAGCCCAAGGTGTAGCAGTGGTGCCACCTGCACAGGCTGTTGGATTTGGGGCCTGGGCATTCCCAGCCCTGCACTTGCTGCGTGTTCTGGAGCATTTCACTTAGCTGCTCTGGGCCTCAGGTGTACAGTAAGTAGGGCGAGCAGACTGTGCTTACAGGTGCCTGGGAATCTGACAAATTCAGATATTAAAAAGGTCCCTAAGCCCTTTGGTCTATAGCATGCTTTCCCTCAGATCATGGAATGAGAACCAAAAAAAAAAAAATAGCCCCCCACTAGTATACCGGCTCCAAATGCCTGCTCCTACCTCTCGGGGCACAAGCAGGCCTCACAGGCCCTTAGCTTCTGAATGGGCCGGTGATGGGGCCCTCATGTGGCAAGGCAGGGCTTGGCTGTGGCTCAGCTTACCGTGGCCACTCTCAACCTGGACTCAGGCCCCCTTGTGCCTCTGGAAGTATTTTTGGCTATTGCCTCAAGGGTGCTGAGGAAGCTGAGAGAGCAAAGCTGGATGGCTCAGCTGCCTTCTTACCTGGAAGGCATCCAGCATTTTATCTACAGATTCATCTTCCTGGGCAGGGGAGAGGGCAGAATGACAGTGCAAACAACCAATGCTGCTTGCTTGCTGTGCCAATCAGCCTACCAAGTGCATGTTGCAAATATACACTCCAAACTCTTTACAGTCATATGTGATAAGCATTGCTTTTCCCCTTCAAGTGTTTATTTAAGAAGCTGACATGGAGAAAGCGTGCATTTGCTGGTTCACTCCCCAGATGGCTGGGGCTGGACGGGGCTGAAGCCAGGAACCCAGAACCCAGTCCAGGTCTGGAAGATGGCAAGAACCCAGCGATTTGAGCCATCACTACTACCCCCCAGGGTCATTCGGCAGGCAGCTGGCATCAGAAGCTGGCTTCGGGAACTGAACCTACGCATGCTGATGTGGAACACGGGTTTCTTGAGCACTATGCCAAATGCCCAGGCAGATAAAGAGGCTAAATGATCTGCTAAACCTCATGGGAAGTGGCAGACAGGTGAGTGTCCCAGAGGACCTGTGCTCTAGCTCAGTGCTCCTCAGGGCTGTGTGTCACAGGGCAGAGAAGTGCCTGTCCTGTTCATGGCCGTGTCCTGGCACCCAGCATGGAGCACACAGTAGGCATATGACATGCGTTCTATCACTCCTGTCCATGTGCCTGGCATGGAGAGCCAGCTGCTGGAGCACCAGTCAGTGCCTCAGTCTCCTCGTCCGTCTCGGCTCTCACTGAATGGTCCCGCATGGTGGAGGGAGGCCCACCCGGTCAGGTGATCATGCTTCTCTTCCCTCCGCAGAGACCCTTCCTCGGGAAGCGCCAGCACCACACGTGTCCCTGCTCGCCCAAGCTGCTCTGTTCCCGGTTCCTGGATGGCAGGTACCGCTGTTCGGCAGACCTGAAGAGAATCAACTTGTAGAGCTCCCAGTACTCAGGCCATGCACCGGGTCCCCGCCCCCAGCCCTGCCTGGACTGTCCACTGTGCTCCTGCTCCCCTCAGCTGCTTTGGTCCACAGTGCTCACCTGGTGCCCCTGCTCTGGATACACCCAGGTGTACCAGGTGCACCTCCTCTGAGGTGTAGCCCATCATGCTGGCCCGAGGCTGGCCCGAGGCTGGCCCAGGGTGGGGCTGTGGCCCTGGGAAACAGCCGCAGGGGTCCCATCCCTGCTGCGAGGTTGCACGTGGCAGAGACAATGGCCCTCAGCTCCTCCTTGCACGAGTCCTTCTCCCTGACTCCCACATCCCGAGCACAGGTTCTGGGGAGGATTGTCAGGGACACAGGTTCTGGCTTCACCTGGACCTGAGCTCGGGCACTCGCCTGTGGCTGGCTTAGTCCTTATGTTTAGACTTTGAGCCCTGGTTGGCAGTGGCCAACCCCTCCTGGCAGTGTGGAGAACCAGAAGGATCTGTTGAATTCCTGGTGGCTGTGAGCCCAGCCAGCCTGAACCTGGGATCTCGGATCTGTGGCTTGTGACCTGTGCCTGGCCTGCCCTTCACCAGTGAACCTTGGGAGCCCCCACTTCCCACTGCCTTCCCATTAATCACAATGCAGTGGGTTCCACATGATGTGACAGCTCCTTTGCTAGGATCAGCTACTTGGCCCAGTAGCTGGAGGAGGACCAGGAACAGGGCAGGGGCTGAGAGGGCCTTGGTTTTCAGGCAAGCAGGCTGTTGCTGGCATGGGAATAAAACTGTTCACCCAGCAGTGCTGGTCTTTGGCTGGGGGAGGGGAGGTTGCACTCTAGGATGGCAGGGGTGCCAGTGGGTGTGCCCTGGGGGTGGGGCTGAGAGGAGGATGGCAGGACCTAGCGTCCAGCTGGCAGCCTGGGTGGCCTTCCACAGCAAGAGGACTTGTGGGTCTGCTTGAAGCTGCCAGGTGGCAGCTCTAATGGCTGTCCAGAGGGGCCACTGGCAAGCTCGGGCTGTGGGGGAAGTTGGGACCGATCTGCTCCCCGCTGAGCCTGCTGAGCGGGCTGCAAACTCTCACTTCTGCAGTTTCTGGTCTTGTGTTGTTAAATACATGTCCCACCGCTTCCTGGGGGCAGTGCTTTCCACGCAGCAGGTGCACGCGAGTTCTCGACCTCAGTTCTCAGATGCTTCCTGGAGGCAGCACCCACGCAGCTCAGGGGTTCGTGGCAGGGTGTTCACCCCTTGTGCCCCGCCACCTGCTCTAGGACCATGGCCTTCCCCGCGACCAGAGGCTCTTTACCACCCGGTCCTCTCCAGCGCTGGGGGCCGCCCTCACCCATCCTTCACAGAGCCTCCACCATGAGCTTCCGCCTCGCCGGGTCCCTGCCCGGGAGCGCTGTCTGCAGACTCCCCCTCGCGGGCTGAACCACTGAGGTGACCAGGTCAGACCCATTTGTTAAAAGCCGAATTTTGAGGAATGGATCCTTAGTGTCTGTCCCAGCCGCAAAGGGAGACGAGAAGCTACAGAAAATGTATTTGCTATATTCAGGAATATGTTCTTCACACATATAGTTATCGAAAATATTCAAGGGTAAGGGTAAGATATCTCTAAGAAATGTATCTGTAAGAATCAGATGAGGTGAAACTGACAGGCCGTGGGACCCATCCTTTGCCTCCCTCGCTTGGCGCCAATCCGGCCGTTTCAACTGGTGGTGTCTGGTGCCATCTAGTGGCTGATATGAGAATAGTAAGGCGTGCAAAGACGCCACGTTGGGAGCTGAGATCCCAGACACCGGGGAGGGTCACACAGCTGGCCCTGACAGCCTTTCAATGGAAGAAGACTGCACGTGGCGGGCGGCGAGCGGCCGGGGCACAGAGGAGCTTCCGGGACCACCCTGCGGGCGTCCCACCGGAATATAGCGGACAGACGCGGGATGACAGTGGGCACAGTTCCAACTGGCCAAGACTGCAAGGCTGCGTCACGTGGACGGCTGTGATTTCCATACAGCCGCTTGCCTTCCGGCCCTAAGGCAGTGAGACCAAGGTAGGGACAGGGAGCTCCCAGGATCAGGGAGCTGCTTTATTGGGGGAGGGGCTGGGAGAGCTCAGGCTGTGCTTTCTCCTTCATTGCCTCCACAGCGACAACCCCGAGGGTCCTACTGTGCAACTTAACCTGGATCAGCTCTCAGACTGGGACCAAATGCAAACCTGGGGCATTTTCCTAGGGCAGCTTCCTGGGGCATTTGAGTGGACCACTGCCACGGAGGGGCAGGGAGTGAGGCATGGGGCTCTTGGGGTATGCTCTAGCGGGATGTCTTCTTGCTGATCAAGGACTGGACGGCAAAGCACAGAACTTCAACAAACAGCACCCCGTTTAGCCCACGAGGGCTTCCCAATGGATGTTGTTGCCAGAAAAAGGAAGGCAGCTCTGACTCTTGCTGCAGCGTGGAAGGCCTTGGAAACCCCATGCCCGGGGTTGGGGTTGGGGGTGGCAGCTGTGTCCTAGCCAGAATAGGGCATTCCATGGGGACAGCAGTCGGTGGGTGGGGTGCAGGGCTGGGCTGGAGGGGTGGCTCATTATGGATTCTGAGCTGCTTTTCTGGGTATGCTCCAACACATGCTTGTGGGGATGGTAGCACAACCCTGTAACTATCCTAATAATTGTGCATTTTATTAAAAAAAATTTTTTTTTTAATTTTGTAAGTCAGAGTTTTTGGAAGACAAGGATTCATGCCCAAAATGATTACACTGATCAGAACTGAGCTAGGAGCTTCTTCCTGGTCTCCCACTTGGATGCAGGGGCCCAATCCCTGAACCACCACCCCTCTGCTGCTTTCCCAATTGCATTAACATAGAGCTGGATCAGAAGTGGAGCAGCCTGGTCACCAACTGACACCCCAACTAGGGGGAATGTAGGCTTTACCCAGTACATCACAATGCCAGCCCTGATGTATACTACATAATTTTTTAAAATAAAGATTTGTTTTTGCTTGAAAAGCATTGGTATAGACAGAAGCAGAGACAGAGGGAGAAAGATCTCCATCCACTGGTTCACTCCTTAAACAGCCTAGACAGTCAGAGTCGAGCCTATTCAAAAGCAGGAATTTCTTCCAGGTCTCCCACGCGAGTGCAGGGTCCCAAGAGTTTGGGCTGGCCTCTACTGCTTTCCCAGGCCACAAGCAGGGAGCTGGATGGGAAATGGAGCAGTCAGGACATGAACCAGCACCTAGGTGAGAGCCCAGCGCTGGCAGGTAGAGGAGTGGCCAATTGAGCCATTATGCTGGCCCCTGTTGCAGAATGTGTGTTGTGATATGACAAGTCAGGAGCTTCTTTCGGTCCTCCCACACGGGTTCAGGGTCCCAAGACTTTGGGCCATCCTTGACTGCTTTCCCAGGCCATAAACAGGGATACTGGGATGGGAAGCAGAGCTGCTAGGATTAGAACTGGCGCCCTCATGGGATCCCAGCTCATGCAAGGCGAGGACTTTAGCTGCTAGGCTACCATGCCGGGCCCAAGATGCCTTCTCTCTCATCTTGAGTCAGTGAGGGAGAGATCCTGTACCCTTCCCCATTGTCTGGCCTCTTCTGGGCCTGGAAAGGGAGTGGTTATATGGTACCATCCCCAAGCCTCAAGTGAGAAGGTGTACGTCCTGGCGAAAGAGTCATTTGATTGACACGCAGGACAGTATTACATAGGGAAGGGAGGAATGGCTTCTAGTTCATGACTCAAAGTTAGCTACCTGCCTGTTCCAGTTCGTTCCCTCTTCAGAGATCTCTGACCCTTACGGGTTGTTGAAGGACGTGGATTCATCTTATCTCTGTAATTACTTCCTGCTGATTAGGGGTGCCAGCTTTGCATGTCCCAGGTTTGGAAATCTCTTCCTATCTTATTTAATGGGTCCATCTCACGAGCCACAGAAATTCCAGCTGGTGCCCATTTGTGTTCCTCGCATTGTCATCACCAAACGGAGAAGTTGCTGGCTTTTTTTTTTTTGTCTGTTGAAGCAGCAGTTGTCGACTGGTTCACATCCCTGGCATCTGGCTCCTGAACTCACAGATCCTGTTGCATTTGGGACCAACTGGACATGAAGGCTCGGGTTTCTTGACAATGTCAAAGGCCATCGGTGCCCTTTGCCCTCAGGATGCCAGCCTCAGGCCCCTGGCCAGTGTGGTGGTAGGACTCCTGAGGCTCCTGGCCTACTGGCTTCTAGGTGAATGTGGTGGCATTCTGCAGGTACAGCTAGCTTAGGACCCCAGTGTCAGACCCCTGTCCTGCCACAGGCCCTCAGTGGTACCCCCACCCCTTACCAGGGGACCCTGGCCTCAGGCCCCTGATCTAATTTGGTGCTATGCCACAGGAGTGGCTGCTAAGGACCCATGAGGCCCCTGGCCTGCCTGCCTCTGGCCCTGCGCAGTGGTCCAGTGGTGGAGGCCAGGTAGATGTGGCCTGCCTAGGAGCTGGGTGTCTGGTCCCTTACCTATCAGTCTTGCCTAGGACCTGACAGACCCCTGGTCTACTCAAGGCTAACACTGGAACATGCCTCCTACCCTTCCATTCCAGGCCTAGCATGACCTGCCTTAGGACTGAAAGTCTGGTTCTTAGGTCTCTTCCTGCACAACTCACACTCTTTCAGATTTAAAGTGGTAGCATGGGCAGCTGTTAGGCAGAGTTGGCATGGACCAGGCCCAGGATGCCCGTCAGCTGTTGGCTCTTTTTCTTCCAGCACTGTCACACTTCCCTGGGTACAAGGCAACCTAGGCAGCTGTCTACAGCTGGGGCTGGCTCAGCTTCTAACCAGCTGTAGCAAAGCCAGGATGTTGGTCAAGTGCCGCAGTTTTGCCCTCTGCAAAATGGCAATAAGCAGAGCATGATGGGAGAGCAGGACATGCAGGAGTTCCATGGAGATCTTATTTATTTACTTATTTATTTTATTTATTTGAAAGGGAGAGAGACAGAGTCCATTTGCTGGTTGACTCCCCTAATGGTTGCAGTGGTTAGGGTTGGGCAGGCTAAAGCCAGGAACCCCGAACTTCATCCAGACCTCCCATATGAGTAAAAGGGGCCAAACAGCTGGGCCATCATTGCTGCTATTCCAGGAGTGTTAGCAGGGAGCTGGG